ATGACATATGACAATCATTATATGACAATATGACAAGTATAATCAAGGCATTATATGACAAAGAGTGCCGGGAAGACGGGACACCACGAGAGTAGCTCACATCCTGTAACTACACTGAGGTAAGTACACATAGGGAATTACCAACCGTGCTAGCCCCAGAAAAACTGGAGAGGAACGTGCCAAGAAGTGACCTGGAGGTCCAGGTCCACCATCCATGCACCCGGCCCTAACAGAATCCGAACAGGAGACAACAGTCCTCCGAGCAGGGCAGAGGATCCAGGGCGCAGACGGAAGTAGTCCAGAAGAACTGCAGACTGGAAAAACTCATGACTGCAAAGAGCAGACGGGAAAAGCTCATGACTGCAAAGAGCAGACGGGAAGCCCAGAAGGATGGGGCGGATCGACCACGCCCCACGCACCCACGAAGAGGAAAGGACGAAGCGCAGGGAAGAAGCCCACCCCGCCAGCTCTGAACCCCCCCCAAGGGGGAGAAGCCGTCCTCCGACGCCAGCAGAGGCCGGAAGACAACCCAAAGCGCCCACCAACAGCGGGACCAAGCGAGAGGCAACAGAGCAAGCTGCTCCCCCAGCGCCCAGTCAACAGAGAAGGGAACAGAACCCCTTCAGAAAGAAAAAGTACACTACCGAAGTCATGAGGAGAGACTACGGGAAAGAAACCACACTTCGCTGGAAGAGGAAGTGAGGGGAGACCTGATCACCACATACAAGATACCCAAGGGAATCGACAGGGTTGAGAAGGACAGGCTATGTAACACAAGGGGCACACGCACTAGGGGACACAGGTGGAAACTGAGTACCCAAAAGAGCCACAGATAGAATTAGTTTTTTTTTTTTTTTTTTTTTTTTTTTTTTTTTTTTTTGAGTGTCAGAATGGGAACGGGAAAGCACTAAGAAGTAATGTGGCGACTCCTCACACAAGGAACGAGGCTGACCCCCATACAATGTCACATGTAGACATGACAGAGCCCAAGAGGCACAGGAACCGATACACCTGTTGACGGACGGTGGAGAGGCAGGACCAAGGAGCCAGAGCTCAACCCCCACAAGCACAACTAGGTGAGGACATAGTGTAAAAGCACAAGCCGCCGACTAGTGGCAAAGAGCACTACGCCGGCCAGGCAAAGAAGGCACAAAACTGCATCAAAAGGCCCACCTCGACAGCAAAACCACAAAGTCCCAGCACAACCACAACATGTGCCAAGACCCAAAAAGCTCAGTCTGCAAGCCAGGAAGACCCCGGAACCCCAAAAGGCAGAACCGGGTCACATGAGGAAACAAAGTCCCCTGAACCCACAAAAGGGGGCCCAAGAGGAAGAAACCTCCAGAACGAAACCAAGGAACCCAAAGGAACCCAGAATCGAACCAGGGGGAGCCCAAACCACCACATTTGCCAGCGGAGAACACCACTAAAAGGCAAAGCACAGACCCCAGCAGAACGCCCTGGGAAAACGGTCCCAACAGACCGAAAACCGAGGGGCAAGGTGTGGGAGCAAGCATACCAGCCAGGGGCACTGAGCCTAAACCCAGAGGCTCAGACCCAAATCAACACCCAAACGTTCCCAGAGAAACAGGCAACGGCAAGAAAACACCAGAAAAACAAAGAAACGACAACAGGAGAACAAAAACCCTGCAAATTTTTTGAAAACTCACCAGAGACGCTCGCTCGCACACCCAGGCGCATGTAAACAAACCGCAACGCCGCCCTGGTGGCCACGCCGGGAAACCGGCAGACGAAAATGGCCGCCAGCAGGGGCTGTGACTGACGCTTAATACACAAAAACACGCCAGCAAATGTGGGAAGCTAGCAGACTGGAAGGGCGAAAAACGACGCCCAACAGCAGAAAAACCCCTGAAGGGGCAAAACCGCCCCAGAACTGCTAGTAGGCATCCCCCACAGCCCCGGGAACCAACAACAGAGGCCCCGGGGCAGAGCCGTCCTCCAAGCCCTCCGCCCTGAAAGAAAAGCAAGAGCCCATGGGAAAGGCAACAAGAAAGGGCCGCTGGTAAGACCCAGAAGCCTTGGCAGGAGGCACAGGCTCAAACCTCCGTCCCCAACCCGAACGGGGCATCCCCCGAAAACCGCCCGAGTCTCTGCCGCAACTGAACCCCGCCCCGACCCAGAAACACGCAGACGGTCCGGAGCCGGGAACATGGAGAGAAAGGGGCGAGCAGCACCTAACCAAACGGGGCGGCCACGGGGCATTCGAGTGGGAAACCAACCTAGCATGTTGCAGCAACCTAACCTAGCTTGCAACACGGATGCCGCCTGTACTCTGAACAGTAATAACATCATGAGAGTACTGGAGAACAAGCAGAGAATCACTCGCAAGACTCCGGGTCAAGGTGTCAGTGACCCAACAGGCAGCATGACGGAGGTAAAAATGGCGACTGTCACCCGGAGACAAGGGAACAGCAACCAACGATCCCGTACAAGACGGGTTGGAACCCGGAAGACACATTCAATGGTCCTCCGAGCCCAGACAGGGGTTTCCAGGGCCCGTAGGGTAACAACTACGGGAAGCCCGGGCAAGGTGTTGCTAACCGGTTTAGAAACCCAAACATAACAAGAGGGTAGATTATAGCACTGAAAACCCCTCGAGACGTGTACAAGCACGGGGGCCTAGCAGAGGGCCGCCAAACACTACCAGTGGAACTATAACCACCTTAGGCAGACCCCCACCAGGCAAGAAAATGAAAAACAAAAGAAAAACCCCGCAAAAGTACACCGTCTCCAGAGGCAACAGAAACCGGCCGCCGCTTAGGTGGCAGGCTGCGCAACACCTTGACGCCCTAACCAGCACAATACCAATCCCTACCCAGGGCCAAACAAGGGCCCCAAGCCCCAGCTGGCCCCAAGGGCGAGGCAAATGCCGAGCAGCAAGAACCTCTACGGGAATGGTTCCCGAACGCCCCAGGGAAGATAACCCTGTAACGCAAGGGCAGTACTCACAGGGCGCTTAGGGAAGGCAGCCACTAAGCACATGCAGCCCCGGCACTGATGAAGTACTCCTGGCCACCGCACACCACAACACACGGCAGTGAACGCCACACAAGGCAAACACCGCCCAGGAAACTGAGGCCAGAGAAGCGTCAATCCCGGTTGACATTAGCGAACGAACTGAAGCTTGGCAGCCGGCGCGGTAGGTCCGGGGCTCCCCCCTCCCCCTCCCGGGGTGGGGAGGGCTGCGCGGACGATCGGCGCGGCAGTAAAGTGTGATGTTTGCTTGTTTGCTTGTTTCCTTGGGATTGTAGGGAGTTTTCTACCTCTCTGTTCGGTTTTTGTTGTAGTGTCTTACCATGTGGGGTTTGTTTTGTTACGCCTACCTTTCTGGGTGCCTAACCCCGGTCGATGGCAGATAAGGAAAACCCCCAACCATATGGGGTTTTCCAGGGCCATTGCTCCCTGAAACCTCTCTGAAGGGGCCAGGTTCTGGCGCTGGTCCCTGGTAGGTCTGAACTCCTTAGCTAATGTCCCGGTCTAACATAACACACATTAGCCCGATAAGCTCCAGGGAGCCGTAGGGGCTCCCCACAGAAAATACATATTTTGGAACCGATTTATTAATTTTATTATTTCGAAGCCGTAGGTCACTGAACTGTGGCGACGAAATCGAACAAAACACACCTGGTGTTGTCTTCGATTTCCAGCAACATAAATTTCTCTCAAATATTCGATTTATATCAAATTATATATTTTTGGCTATATATTTAGTTTAGCAACATTATTATGGTAATAAGAGCTATAAAAAATACTTACTTTGGAACTGATTTATTAACTTTATAATTTCGAAGCCGTAGATCACTGAACTGTTGTGACGAAATCGAACAAAACAAGCATGGTGTTGTGTGGACAGGGATTAGACCAGTCCACTCGTGTTGGAGTTGTGCCGCCAATAACGTGAATAATATATCAAATAGCAGATATCTATCATATTACAGTATATTTTTGGTTTTATTTAGTTTAGTTTAATTAGGATAATAAAGAGTTATTAAAACACCAGTTTTAGAAATGATTTATTAATGTGAAACAGTTCAGTGACCCATGACTTTGAACATGACAACACTGACAAAAGTGAGTGAAACCTCACTGTAAAGCAAGGTTTACTGTACAGTATTCCCTTACCTGTCCACCCTCACTCGTCTTGTTTCATCACTGAAAATGTACATAAGAAGATTTCAACACATTAGCTAGCTATTCACGCTTCAGCCTTTAAATTAATTTACAAAGATACGTGTGCCACAAATCGGTGAACAAAAATCATTGAAACTCAGTCGTTCACTTGTGTGGACCACTCTGGCTGGTGTTTGGTTAATATGTGTCACTTTTTGTGGACCATTCTGGCTGGTGTTTGGTTCATATGGTTCACTTGTTGTGTGATCCACTTGTGTGATCCAACTTGTCTTTTGAAGGAATTATTAATTGTAATCTGTGATAGAATGAGACAGTTTTCCACCACTCTGTGAACTCTGTCCCAACATCGTAAGCTTGTGGACCACTTGTGGTCCACTTGTGTGGTCCAACTTGTGTGGTCCAACTTGTGTGGTCCAACTTGTGTGGTCCAACTTGTCATATGAAGGAATTATTAATTGTAATCTGTGATGGTATGGGAAGTTTTCCAACACTCTGTGAGCTCTGTCCCAACATCGTAAGCTTGTGGACCACTCGTGGACCACTTGTGCGGTCCACTTGTGTGGTCCACTTGTGTGATCGAACTTGTCATATGAAGGAATTAATAATTGTAATCTGTGATAAAATAGGAAAGTTTTCCACCAGTCTGTGAACTCTGTCTCGACGTCGTAAGCAAATCTGAACATCCCCCGCTTTGGCGAACCATTGTTCGTCGAACCGGGCGAGTAAATCTGGCCTGAAAAGTGTGCGAACTAGCCGGAGATTCGTTGAATCGAGGTTGTACTGTATACATAATTACAAATTAAATATGAAGTCAATAATACTTGCCTAGAAAAATAAAATCTACTTACCCCTCTGTAAGGTGCACTGGCAAACCCAAATGTTTTGTCCAAGAGGTGCGTTACAGGAAACATCATCATGGGGTAGGTAAAGAATAAAGATACACCCAAGCAGATTTTCACCATCGCTGCGAAGTCTACAGTTCCATTTCCATGAGGAAGGTTCAGTGTGATTATGTCCATCGTATCTAATTAAAAATGGGAGTCATCATTAGTTGAATCACTACCTATAAGATCAATGTACTGTATAAATATTTGAAATTATGAAAATAGCATACTAGGATTCTTTCTAGAATGGTTGGCAAAAAGACGTCTAATGTTTTTCTTCAGCTTTATCAAGCTCTCACTGGGCTCCAATTAGATTATGCACTTCAGTTTTAGTCATTATGCTGACAATTACACTATGAGGTGAGCAGAAAGATAACAGATAGTCCTTGGAATTAGAAATCTCCCATATGAAAAGATTTTCAGAAAACTTAATTTACTTTCAACAGACAAGCAGTGTTTGGGGTGACATGACTGAAGTACACAAATTAATGACAGGGTATAACAAGGTGGATATTAGTAGGGTGCTAAATATATCGGTACAAAAAATCAGCGTTGAATGTAATGAAAACCCGTTTTCTGGGTGAGCTCCATCGGCTCCTTGGAGCTATAGGACTGATATGCGCTATATTAGTCTGGGGTTTCAGTCAGTGGAGTCCTGCCTACCTAAGGCCAGAGCTGGAACCTGGCCCTCATCAGAGAGGCACAGGGAGCAATGACTTAAGGACACCCCCCCCCCCCTTGTATTTGGGAGTATTCCTTGTCTGCCATAGACTGGGGTTAGGCACCCAGAAAGGTATGCATCTCAAAACAAACCCCACATGGTAGAAATTGTAAAAACTCAAGACCGAACAGAGAAACAGAACTCCCCAAAGGAAAACAAAGGTAACAAGCAAATAAGTAATCATCACTCACTGCCACCGCTCCTCTTGTCTGGCCGGCCCTCCACTTCCCGGGAGGGGGGAGCTCTCGACCTACACGCCGGCTATTTACACCTCATTTCGGAGGAACTGAGGCGTGAGTATCGAAATATAAAAACTGAAACTGCTGACCAGTTTGCAAGGGAGCCTGTGAGGCTCACCCAGAAAATGGCGTTTCATTACATTCAACAGTAGTTTTCTGTCGGGGCCCCTTCGGCATCCTGGAGCTACATAACCAAAGATAAGTAAGAGAGAGACTTACTCGAGAGGTGGCTGCACCACGTGGATGAATTTGAAGATGAGAAAACTAGCTGCAAACTGTGATCCAAAGCCACACACACAAATGACTGGGACCAGGAACATTTACCAATTGATGGGCGACAAGGACCCTGTTCGACCTCCAAAATCCCCACGCCCGAATGTCAGCCTAGGACATGTAGCCAAATACAGCAGTCAAGGCAGCATACTTAAGAACATCATGGGCACGAGAGAGTAGACCACAGGCTGGCTAGTCTTAATAATCCAGATGACGACCTGAGGGACCCGAGCCTTGGAACACAGAGAGAAATCGGATCAACCCAAAGTGTGGCTACGGCCGCAGAGGCCGAGGCGCACAGGTAACAGCACAGAACCACAACTGGACACAACATATGGATGCATCCCCGGCCTGACCAACCAAGCATCAATAACCCCCGGACCCCTCCGAAACCAGCCACCATGTTCTTAGCCAGAAAATAAGGAGATGGCTGTAACCAAACAAAATGTCCACCAGAACCAAAGGAGCAAAAACCTATGCCAGAGGAGAGCATGAAGCTCACCGACCCGACACCCAGAGGCCAATTCCAACAGAAGCAGAGACATCGATAAGCAATCTCGAACTGAAGGGGCCACCATAAACCGAGAAGAGAGAAAAGAGCCCTGTCCAAGGACCAGAATAGCTCAGGTGGTCCATGAGCAAGCTGAAACAAAGGTGAAACAAAGCACAAGAAAGCTTTCGGAACGCAAGCTGGAGCGGCTCCGCCAGTGCTGCACGATACAAGGAGAGGCAATGGCGAAAAGATCGCCAAGACACCTCATACTGTCACCGAGACAAGGACCGCAGGTGGGCCACCATGAGAGAAGCCACCTGATTATCATACAAGTGGTGATACACCTGTGTCAAAATCTGGCCCGATCTGCTAGAAGAGGCGGAGTCGCAGAAAACGCCCCGGCTCAGACACCGAGCAAGCAGCATCTGAAACCAAGGATGGGCTGGCCACCATGGGGCTACAAGGAAGACTCTCCCATGAGAAGACACCAACCGAGCTGGAAACCGAAAACACAGTTGGACCAGGGGGAAGAGGTACAGGGAACACCACCTTGATCAGTTGCTTCTTTTACTGTTCACATAATGAATGTTTTTCATGTTTCCTTTATTATTATTATGCGAGTATTAATTTTAAAGGAATATGGGACAACCTGTAGAGAAAATTGGAGATCAAATCGATATGGATGAGACTGGAACATTAGTAAGTCCGGGACACTGCATTGCCTAGATAATAGTCTTTTGGTCACCTAAACATAACTCACAACTTTGATGTAAATTATCTGCCAAAGAGCAGCGGCTCTGCAGTCTGGGAAGTGAGCCACATCTCTCCGAACCATGCCAACACGATGAGTTCCATCTCCGGGGACCTGTGTGACCAGCAGTCAACTGAATGAGCTGGCGTTGACTGTCCATTCCGTGGACAGGGGAAGGAACTGGGACAGGCCGTCTGCCACGACATTGGACACACACCCCAGATGCGAATTGTACAGAGAGCTAACCCTTGAGAAACCAGCAAATGTGCCACTCAAAGAGGCCAGCCCCAAAGAGCCAAGGACCTAAGGGAACCCCCATGGTTCAGGTAATAAACCACCGGAGCACGATCCAAAGGGAGCCTGATCATAGAGCCCTGAGCGACCTGAACCCCCCGCAGTGAAAGCCAGAATACCGCAAACTCCCGCACCACACTGCGAGCCTGACGAAAGGACCAAGCCCACCGCCCTAGGCCGGCCTAGTGAGTATGGGTCACAGAACCCCAGCTGAGACACGAGGCATCTGGGAACAACGAGCGAAGGCTCAAGGAAGCATCAAGGCACCGAACTCTGGAAACCCCGAAAAGGCATCCAGTGTCGCAAAAACCGACACAAGTCCCACTGGGTTCAAACCCAGTGGTTGTGAGAGAGGCAGAAGAGATGCCCCCGAAGGAACCAGGACAGGCACTGAAGCCCGTCCTAACGGGAAAACCAACACAGCGAAGCGCAGACTCTCGCACAACTGCTCAAGCGGCCACGAGCAGTTGGTTGCTATCGATGCGGTCCGACAGGCCGACATGAGACCCAATCAGATCTGAACCTGGAACTGAACCAGATGGGACTTTCCCCAGGTCACCAGGACCCCTAATCCGGCGAGCTGGGAAAGAACCAAATCCCTGGCGAGCAGACATGCAGACTGGCTGGGAGACCACACCAACCAGTTGTTGAGGTAGGCCAAAAAGAAGGCAACGAAAACAAGAAACATACCGCCCATCATGAAACTTAAGTACTTCCAGAGCCCAGGACAAAATGGGACGTTGTTGACCAAACCACACACTAGAAAGTGAAGGAACGACGACGTTTCGGTCCATCCTGGACCATTCTCAAGTCAATTGTGATGATTGAAGGAGAAGGCAATAAATAGGCAGAAGAGAGGTGAGGAGAAGAAAATCTTAGAGGAAGAAAAGGCAAGGCAAAGGTAGGGAAGGTAAAGTGTAATAAAGGGGAGGGTAAGAATGAGAAAACAAAAACACAAGAACAAAGATAACTGCAGAAGGCCAATTGGCCCAAACAAGGCAGCTCCTATTTATACCATCCATTAAGAGGAGGATAGTAAAAGAAATAAGAAGGGGGAAATAGTAGGAATAAGCAAGAGATCGTAAGAGAAAACAATGATAAGAAAAAGAAAGAAAACGGAGAAGAAAAGGAAAGGGAAAGAAAGATAAATGGAAGTGTTAGCTTATGTTAGGTCACGTTTGTTAGAAAGTTTAGAGCATTTAAGTATATACTGTGAAAGGGAAGAGTCAACGACAACAAAGCCAGGACTCTAGTTCATGTTGGGTACATTGTGTATTAGAGCCAATTCAACGAGACGGCGTCTGTGTAGAGGCAGAAAAGATAATTTTGGAAGATCTTCCTCCAAAATTATCCAATTGATCTTCCCCCCAGAAGACCAATTTGGAGGAAGAGCAATTAGTCTTCCTTGAAAATTATCTTCCTTTGGCCACCACCAAAAGAGCAGAAACCCCTGTGCCGGAGGAGAGCATGACGCTCCCCGACCCGACCCCCAGAGGCTAATGCCAACAAGAAAAGAGCCTTGGAGAAACAATCCTGGACCGAAGGGGCCACAATGAAACGAGGAGATGAAAGGTAAGCGAGCACCCTGTCCAAAGACCAGGACGGCTCAGGCGGAGCATGAGCAGGCCGGAGGTGAAACAAAGCACGAGACAGCTTGCGAAACGGCGCAGACGTAACATCGATACCGAAGGCAAGCTGAAGTGGCTCCACCAGCACTGCACGATATGAGGCGACAGTGTTAGGCCTAAGATAACGGTCCTGAAACAACCATGAGAGAAAGAACAGGACCACCCTAATTGACAGCGAACTAAAATGACGAAGACACAAAAAGAAACGGAAGGCCCGCCAGGAACTTCAAACTGCCGCCGAGAAGAAGCCCGCAGGTGGGACACCAACAAGGAGGCCACCCGATCATCATAGAGATGATGATAGACTCAAAAAAAAAAAAAACATATGCGAAGACTCGAGAAGATCGAACCAGCTACGTGACGTACTGGACCGATCTGCTGAAAGAGGCGGAGCTGCGGGAAAACCCTCGGGTTCGGACACTGAGCAAGCAGCGCCTGAAACCAAGGCTGGGCCGGCCACAAAGGGGCCAGAATGACAACTCTCCTCTGGTAAGTCTCCAAGTGAGTCAGGACCTGGAGCAACAGCTGAACCGGGGAAAAGAGGTACAGAACCCCCACCTCAACCAGTCCAGCCGAAAGGCATCGAACCCGACAGCCTTGTGGTCTGGGAAGGACGCCGCATACATGAGAAGGCGCCTCGACCATGCCGACACGAAAAGGTCCACCTCGGGGCGCCCGAACGTCTGGCAAAGCCAACGGAAGGAAGCATCGTCGACCGTCCACTCCGAGGAGAGGGGAACGAAGCGAGACAGGCCGTCGGCCAAGATGTTGGACACTCCACACATGTCAAACCCGGAGAACTAAGCAGACGAGTCACCTGAAACGACCAACCCCAAAGAGCCAAGGACGGCATTGAACCCCCATGGTTCAAGCAATGAACCACCGGAGAGCAGTCCGAATGGAGCCGAATCGTCAATCTGCAGGCTACCAAAATCCTCCCAAGAGCCGACCACACTGCCGCGAACTCCCACACTGTGCTGTGGGCTCAACGTAAGGACGAACCCCAACGCCCCTGCCCGTCCTGGTGAGTATTGGTCACAAAACCCCAGCCGAGAGACGAAGCGTCCGTGAACACATTGAGTGAAGGCTCGGGTAGGCGCCAAGGCACTGAACCCCGAAAAACGTGAAGAGGAAGCCGGCGATGCAGCAACCAACGCAAGGCCCCCGGGGGTCGAACCCAGCAATCGCGAGAGGCTGAAGGGACGACCCAGAAGGAACCAGAACAGCCGACGAAGCCAAACCCGGCGGGTAGACTAATATCGCGAAGTTTAGGCTCCCGCACAGCCCCTCAAGCAACTGCCGGGTGACCCAAGGGCCCACTAGAAACAGACGAAGGCGGGACCGCAGCTGCAGGAGAGACTCCGGAGAGAATGAGACCAGGAATCGGTCCGTGAGTCCCAAACGAGACCCAGCCAAGTCCAAACCTGAGAGGGAACCAGATGGGACTTCCTCCAGTTCACCAAAAACCCAAACCCGGCGAGCTGGGAAAGAACCAAATCCCTGGTTAGCAAGCAAGCCGACCGGCTGGGACCACAAACCAGTCAGTCGTCGAGGTAGGCAAACACCCGAACACCTAAGAGATGCAAACGGGCCACCACGACCCGCATAAGGCGTGTGAACATGCGAGGTGCCAGGTTCAATCCAAATGGGAGACAACGAAAGTGGTAACATAGACACCCGACAACAAAAACTGAGCCAGTCCCGGAACCTTGGATAAATCGGACATGCTAATAAGCGTCCCGGAGGTCCAGGGACACCATACAAGCGCCCGGCTCAAAGAGGAGCCGAACCTAGGACAGCGTAGTCATCTGAAAGGAGGGGCAATGAACCCAGGGGTTCAGACGGGACAAGTCCAGAATGAACCGCAGGTTCGCGCAGTCCCGTTTCAAGACCGGAAACTAACGGGAAACCCTTGTAAGGGACGTCGTCGTTTCGACCACGCCCAAGCGAACCCATTCCAAGACGACCCGACAGAGCGCAGGGAAAGAAACCTGCCCTGAACTGTAGAAAGGCAAACACCAGTGGATAACAGGGCAGAAACCCCCCACAAGGCAAAAAGAAAAACAAAACCCTGCAAGAGGACAGCGAACCCCAGGAACAGAGCCTGCCGCTATGTCGGGAAAACGAAGCTGCACAGCATCCTGTGCCCCTACCCGTGCAAACTGCCACTTACCCAAACAACAAAATAAAATCCAGCCCATCAACCGTGAAGAGCTCTGTCCCCCAGGGTACTGTGCTTGCTCCAGTACTTTTTCTCATCCTCATTTCGGACATAGACAAGAACACAACCTATAGCACTGTATCGTCCTTTGCAGATGACACTAGGATCTTCATGAGAGTAGGCAACATAGAGGACATGGCGAACCTCCAGTCAGATGTAGATCAGGTCTTTCTATGGGCTACAGAAAATAATATGGTGTTTAACGAAGATAAGTTCCAGCTCATGCGCTATGGAAAAAATGAAAATATAAAAACGGAAACCACGTACAAAACTCAGGCAAATCATAACATAGAACGAAAAGGCAATGTAAAGGATCTGGGTGTACTCATGTCGGAAGACCTTACCTTTAAAGAACACAATAAAGTAGCCGTCACAACTGCAAGAAAAATGACAGGTTGGATAACAAGAACTTTTCACACTAGAGATGCTATACCGATGATGATACTTTTCAAAACGCTTGTGCTCTCTAGAGTGGAGTACTGCTGCACAATGACAGCACCTTTCAAAGCTGGAGAAATTACTGACCTGGAGAGCATGCAGAGATCCTTTACTGCTAGAATCCACTCAGTAAAACATCTAAACTATTGGGACCGACTAAAGAGCCTAAAACTGTACTCCCTTGAGCGCAGGCGGGAGAGGTACATAATAATTTACACGTGGAAAATATTAGAGGGGCTGGTCCCAAACCTGCACACAGAAATAACATCACATGAGACCAGAAGACATGGCAGGATGTGCAGAATACCCCCGTTGAAAAACAGAGGTGCAACTGGTACTCTGAGAGAGAACTCTATCAACATCAGAGGTCCGAGACTGTTCAACACGCTTCCACTACACATAAGGGGCATAACTGGCCGACCCCTCACAGTGTTCAAGAGAGAACTGGATAAGCACCTCCAAAGGATACCTGATCAACCAGGCTGTGACTCGTACGTCAGGCTGCGAGCAGCCGCGTCCAACAGCCTGGTTAATCAGTCCGGCAACCAGGAGGCCTGGTCGACAACCGGGCCGCGGGGACGTTAAGCCCCGGAAGCACCTCAAGGTAACCTCAAGGTACCCGCAGGTAACAAGGGAGAACAGAACACCCACGAGCTCAACAGGCGGCCGAAAAACCGAACGGTAGAAAGGACCAGCAGAGGCAGATCACGAGGAGCCTGTGGAAGGTGACTCCAAGCTCCAAGGGCAGTACTTACAGGGCACCACAAGGACAGTACTTACTCGGGCGCATGCAGCCCGAGTACTGAAGATAACTCCTGGCTCTCGCACCCCTGGAAACAACCACACACGAAGCACAGTGCTGTAAAGACACTGGAGCCAGAGCACACGACCTCTGCCTATAGCATCAGCCTCAAGAACTGAGGTGTGGGTAGCCGGCGTGAAGGGTTTGGGGCTCCCGCTTCCCCCTCCCGGGGAGAGGGCAGCTGCGCAGACAGCAACGCGGCGACGTGTAACGTCATACTAGTTAGCTTGTTTTCTGTTGGAAAGTTCTATCCACTAGTTTGGCTTTTGGTAGCAATTTTAACCAGAATAGGGGTTTGTTTTTGGGGCGCTTACCTTTCTGGGTGCCTGATCTGGTCGATGGCAGACATAGAATGCCTCCAACCACACGGGGGCTTCTATAGGCCATTGCTTCCCTTGCCTCTCTGAGGGGGCCCGGTTCAGGCCGTGGTCCCTGGCAGGCCTAAGAACTCCATACACATAACTGATGCCAAAGTCTGACATTAGCATATCAGCCTGGGATAGCTCCGGGGAGCCGACGGGGCTCCCCCCAGAAAAAAAGTGTTTTCTCGGTTGGTGCGGTAATAAGCAAATGAGATTTCCTGGCCGACGCAGCACAGTGGTTAAATCATTCCCACAAACATTTTACAATATGTCAAAACATACATGAAGTTGACCGAGTAGCAGAGATACAACATAAAATACTGTGTGTTTTTAGTCAACTTACGTGGGCCAAATGATGCATAGCCTGACACCCCAAAGGATATGTACAGCATTGTTAACCCTGTCATAGTGCAAATAAAGATGGAACGAAATTTATCACGTTTGTGCTCTGCCATTGACTCTTCCAAAGAAAGGATCATCCCTGCACCCTATAACAGAAAAATTATCAATCAACCAAAATATATTTGTCAGCTAACTGTATATAATGCTAACTATAAAATCTGTCAGACAATCACAGGCACTTTAAGTATAAGTTGCCCAACAACATTTATCTATCAGAACAAATTCTCTAATTGATATATGCACATTCTCCACACATTCTTTTGTGCTACAAAACCCTATACTGTAATATTATCTTGGACCAGAAACTTTTTTTTTAAATTATGTATTTTAATCCATAAACTAAATACATTAAGTATATGATATTCCTACCAAAAGTGCCATACAAATTGAAGGGTTCAAAATATGGAGTTCCCTTTTTAATGAAAAGAAGAACGGCATAACTAAACTAGCTAAAATTAATGTAAAGAAGCAGTTTACTGAACTACTCTCTCCACAAATTGATTGACGGCAATATTATTCTAACTACAGTGCATAACACTGTATTTGCACACCATTTGTTTGCACTTATTTTTTTTTAAGTAATCACACACAAGTGTGAAAATTAAGGACTTCTACAGAAGTGGCACATTGTGAATACTGCATTATCTGATAGTAGCTACAGTATTTCCATCCTGGGAATACTTGTTTTGTCAGTTGGCTGCCTAGAGAGATGATAGTGTTTTCCCAGTGTGATGCTTAATCAAGTATGTATGACCTGGTGGGCACATCTGATAACATTCCCACTATATCTGAACCTGCCACTAGGAGAGTATAGAGCATTTCCTGTAAGACCAACCAAGTGGTTAATCTGAAAAGAAAGACTCAAGTTGCTACTAGACTGCCCAATACTGGAAGTCAGATCAGATACACTATATTGACCTGGATGTATCAGAGGGGTACCATCTTTAGCGGCCTCGACGGAGACAGGAAGCATATGGGTGTAAAAGCATCCTGTTTTCTGTATTACACTGTGGCTTGTAGAGCTTGAAGCTGTTGTCCCTAGTATACATTACATTTGATTTTTAAAGACATATCTTCCAATTTGTTCAATGTTTGAAAGATCTCAAAGAGATCAGCCCTGTTATGTTTGTTTTGTAATTTTGTTAGTCCCGGGGCACTCAACCATCCTTGGCACAAGTTGACTTAGTTCCGGGATGAATTGTGTCACTGTCGAACTTTCTCCGAAGCTGGTCTGTCTTTCTGAAGGCGAGGTCTCCCTGTTTAGATACAGTAGTCCAGATGGGGCAACACTAAAGACTTCTACACTTGCATAATCACTGTCTTTTCTTGGAAGTAAAAAGTCCTTTTGATTACTCCTATTGTGTGGTTGGCTTTCTTTTTAATGCAGCTCCCACTTGTTGAACAACTTTCAATTACTACCTGTAGTAGCTCCTACCCAGTAGGTCATTTTCTTTATCAATTTGCTGAATGGTAGTGCTGCTGATATAATTATGATGTGCATTGTTATGCCATATATGCAAGGTCTTGCATTTTCCATATTGAAAAGCATTTGCCAGATTTTTGACAATGTGTGGAGTTCATAAAGATAGCTCAGCAAGGCCTCAATATTGTTTTCACTGCTAACCTTACTATAGACCTCTTTCATCAGCAAATTTGATAATTTGGTTAGAAATAGAATTCTCGTCAATGATGACGAATAAAATAAAAGGGGTTGATGCCAAGGTGAAACCATGCTGATTCCACTCACCACTTTGTTTCAGGCAGATTTATTTCCATTTAGGACAAACGTTTAATTTGTTTATCTATTTTTTTATTTATTTAACCCTCAAACCGCTAGGGGTCCAAATGGCTTTAACCCTTTAACTGCGCAACATGCCTGCAGGCCCAGGCTTTGGGTGCGCAACACGCCTGCAGGCCCAGGCTTTGGGTGCGCAACACGCCTCCAGATATTTGCATTTTTCACGTTCTATTCAAAACTCCCGCGGCTACGTGGGGTTCACATCAGCTTCCTCAGGGCTCTTGTAAACAGTCGCCATCTTTAAAAAAAATCGTGGTCCACATTCCCGGGTGTGGGAGCCTCAGCAGTGAGTGAGCAGCCAAGGCTGGCGCTCGCAGCATGAGCGCACAGCACTGCTGTTCAGTGTGTGACCACAGCATCGCCTAATAATGTCATAATATATATATAACTTGTATTATTTAGCCATGATAGTATTATAGAAGAGCCTGAATATGATAATGCCTGGGTACAATGTTCAAATATCAGTGATTTAATGCTGTTCACGATGTTCACAGCGCTAGCCACAGCACCATAGCATTATTTTGTCCATCTAGGAATCTTCAAACGACTTTTTAGGTTCCTTTTCAAAATAAACTTGTGGTCAATTATTCATTTACAGGAATTAGTGACCAAGATTGTGGTTATAATTAGCGTTGTGCGTAGTATTGTGGAAGGAGTAATTTTGGAGAGGGAGGGAGGGAGGGAGAGAATTGAGGTACCCTTACTGTGTAGCAGCCACTCCTGTTTTGCTCACCACACTAGCTTCGTGGTTCGCTATGGGGAACACACATGTACATGGGTATATACAGTGTGTGTGTGTATAGTGTAACACCAGCATCAGGAGTATGTTGTGAGGAGCTATTTTGGTGAGGGAGGTGACGTCATAATCGTAGCGTTGTCTGCTGTGTGATTTCCCATGCAGTGTATGGTGGCCACTGTACTGTTTGGTCACAATACCGGCTTACTTGCATAGTTCTGGTAAATAAAACATGTAGATAGGTATATATAACATGTGTTAATAGTGTAATAATAACAACAACAGTATGGTGGGAGGAGGAATGTTGGCGAGTAAGATGTTGGAGGAGTGAGGGAGGGCTGGCCGAGTGTGGCTGCTCACACTCGCGGTGTTCTGAGTGTGTTGATGGTGAGTATATATAGTGTGTGACAGTGTATAGTCTGCAAATAGATTGTATATATACATAAATTAGCATGATACATGGTAAATATGTGCAACATATGTGTACACAAGTGTCATGCACGTAACACAGTGTCCTCGGACAGTATGGATGTTCTACGGCCATAATATAATGTACGTGTTCATTATACATAGGATTAGTATGTAAAAACAAATAAAATGTATTTGGAACTGTGCGCAAAAAATGAATAAAAATATATTCGCGGCAACTCGCACGCCCCGCCCCGGGCGCCCTACTGGCCCCAGGAGCGTATGTCACAGGCAAACGGGGAATGAAGACGTCACGCGCCAACTTACGAACCCCATAGCAGCCAAAGTAAGTACAAGTTCAAAATTTTTTTGACATACCCATATTGAGGGAAGGGTTTTTGACACTTTAAAAAAACAAAAGAATTTTTTCAAGAGAATTTATTTCCTGCACACTGGGGGGGGGGGTGTCATATTTATAGGCTGCACAGTTAAAGGGTTAACACCCACAGGCGAAACAAAAAAAAAAAAAAAAAAAAAATTCGTCTTATAAAAGTGTTCATTTTTGTTCCCTGATCACAGAAAAAATAAAAAATCGTGGGTGGCATATTTTAGCCGCAATAGGGTACGGAAGTCTGGCAAAAAACCAGCGTTGAATGTAATGAAACGCCATTTTCTGCGCGAGCCCCGGAGGCTCCCTGGAGCTTATTGGGCTAATGTATGTTATATTAGACCGGAACATTAGCTAAGGAGTTAAGACCTGCCAGGGACCAGCACCAGAACCTGGCCCCTTCAGAGAGGTTTCAGGGAGCAATGGCCCTGGAAAACCCCCTTGTGGTTGGGGTTTTCCTTATCTGCCATCAACCGGGGTCAGGCACCCAGAAAGGTAGGCATAACAAAACAAAACCCCACATGGTAAAAAACTAAAATAAAAAACCGAACAGAGAGGTAGGAACTCCCTACAATCCCAAGGAAACAAGCAAACATCAGACTTTACTGCCGCTCCGATCGTCCGCGCAGCCCTCCCCGCCCCGAGAGGGGGAGGGGGGAGCCCCGGACCTACTGTGCTGGCTGCCTAGCATCAGTTCGGAAGCTAAGCTTCAATCAAAGCGAAAAAAACGCTGACCGGAGGGAGGGAGGGTTGCCAGGGAGCCTCCGGGTCTCACCCAGAAAATGGCGTTTCATTTCATTCAACACTGGTTTTCTGTGGGAAGCCCCTACGGCTCCCTGGAGCTTCAGACCCAAAGAGAAGGAAAAGAAAGGGCTGACCCGGGAGGCGGCCGCCACAAACTCCGCAATGCGAAGCCGAGGCAACAGGTTGCAACCTGCGACCCAAGGCAACAAGAACACACAGGAGCAGACACACACAAAGAATGGGCGGCCAAGAACCTGTGCGACCCTCAAATCCCTGCACCCGAAATGAGCCCTAGACGTCACCAACACAGCAGCAAAAGCTGCAAACGAACGAACAGCACAGGCACAAGGACAGACCGCAGGCTGGAAGACTGAAAAACTCTGCGTACGACCTGGGAGACCCGAGCCCTGAAACAGGGAACGAGGGGAACTGGATAAACCCAAAGCGCATCCCCAGACACTGTTCGCAGGTAACGGGAAAAAAATGCAACAGGACAACACAGGACGCACGCTCTGCTGAACCAATCGAGCATCAATAACACAAGAACCCCTCTGGAAAGCAGCCGTCTCGACCGTCGCCAGAAGGACGGAGAAAGGCTGCAAACATACAAACCTACCACCAGTACCAAAGAGTAGAAACCTGAACCGAAGGGGCAACCACAAACTGAGGAGAAGATGAAAAGGTACCCTGATCAAAGACTAGGACGGCTCAGGCGACGCATGAGAAGGCCGGAGGTGAAACAAAACATGAGAAAGCATACGAAACGGGGCAGATGTGATGTCCACCCCAAACGCAAGCCAGAGCGGCTCCATCAGCACCGCACAAAACGAGGCGACAGTAAGAAATATCAAATAACTGTAGTCCTGAAAACCCAAGAAAGGGTAAGACAACCCAATGCGAAAGAGAAGACAACCCACGAAGAGCAAGAAAAAGTGCATAGAAACACCAGGAACGTCATACTGTCGCCGAGACGAAGCTCGCAGGTGGGACACCATCAACAAAGCCACCTTCT